CAGTTGAAAGGGCCAGGGCGGGGGGGGGGGCAAACGTTCCCTTGCCTCCCTGAGCCCCGGGGTGGTGGCCTTGGATTCGTAGGGGCAAATTCCACCTCTCGCGTGTGATGTCCGAACATGCAAGAGGTTATTCTGTCTCTCCCAGCTCTCCTTGGGGGCTCTTTAAAAAGTTATGGCCGACGGCACTGTCGGCGGCAGCTGCAATGACCATGGCGGCGGGGGGGGGCAAACGTTCCTCCACCTCCCTGAGCCCTGGGGTGGTGGCCTTGGACTCGTAGGGGCAAATTCCACCTCTCACGTGTGATGTCCAAGTGGCAATGAGAGGTCATTCTGGCTCTCCCAGCTCTCCTTGAGGGCTCCTTAAAAAGTTATGGCCACTGGCACTGTCGGCGGCAGCAGCAATGGCCACGGGGGCGGGGGGGGGAACATTCCTTCGCCTCCCTGAGCCCCTGGGTGGTGACCAATGTTCCCTCTAAGATGTGGAGTCTTGTGAGCAAAAATTCTACCACTGGTACATCACACACGAAAGGTCATTCTGGCTCTCCCCGCTCTTCTTGGGGGCTCTTTAAAAAGTTATGGCCACCGGCGCTGTCGGCGGCAGCTGCAATGACGGCGGGTGGGGGGGCAAAACATTCCTCCGCTTCCCTGAGCCTCGGGGTGGTGGCCTTGGACTCCTAAGGGCAAATTCCACCTCTCGCATGGAACATGGTTCTGGAGCACGGATCCTCTGGGTTTTTGGAATGGGTCACCCCAAACACAACATCAAGTCACATATCATGTCCACGGGAACAGCTTGAATCACAGAAATCATGGATCCACCTGTTTTTGAAGCACGGATCCTCATGGATCCTCAAGGTTTTTGCAATGAGGCACCCCAAACACAACATCTAATCACATAACATGTCTATGGCAACAGCTTGAACCACAAGAATCACGGATTCACAGGTTCGTGGCAACACCATTCTGCAAAAACATGGTTCTGGAGCACGGATCCTCAAGGTTTTTTGCAATGGGGCACCCCAAACACACCATCTAATCACATAAGATGTCAATGTCACCTGCTAGAACCACAAAAATCACGGATCCACAGCTTCATGGCAACACCATTCCGCAAAAACATAGTTCTGGAACACGGATCCTCATGGATCCTCGGGATTTTTGCAATTGGTCACCCCAAACATACCATTATGTTATCAGGCAGGAATAGCGTTGCCAGCCTCCAGGTGGGCCCTGGGGTTCTCCCGCTTTTACAACTGATTCCCACTGACAGACCAGTTCCCCTGGAGAAAATGGCTGCTTTGAAGGGTGGACTCTATGGCATTGTATTATGCTGAGGCCTCTCCCCTCCCCAAACTCCACCCTCCTCTGGCTCCACCCCCAAAGTCTTTAGGTATTTTCCAACCCAGACCTGGCAACCTTAGGCAGGAATGGTTAATTTCCTAGGATCAGAGGCTGGAGGAAGGAGCTTTCGGGGTTGCCGGGGGTATTTAAGCCTCTCCAGACAGAACAAAGGTA